GATGAAGACGGTGGTGAGAGACGAGAGGAGTGAGGTGTCGTATGAAGGAGTCACCCCTGAACTAAGCTGATTCATTTTCTTTCTGGAATAAGATTAAAAGAAAATGGTCTGGGGAATAAGAGTGAGTGTAGGAATCTCTCTCTCTCTCTCTCTCAGACAAGTGGACCAAGGATAATAATTTCGACATCATTTTATTAAAAGCATTCCTCTTTTAATAGGTACAATAATGACCGTGAAATCGTATACGGCTTTAGTTTTTTTTAGTCACAGTCACCCGAGTCACCTGAAGGGGAGAGTAGGAGTTGGTTATAATATTTGAATCACCCTTTAATGTCTCAGTGCGTTGGCTAGAATGACCCTCGAGTCGATTACATCCTAAGCATAAATACACAAACCTCTACAATACCTTCCCTCATAACCGTCTATTATTAATCTGTAAACTATCTTAAAGTGGTGAAAGATTCGTGTGACATATTTTAGTCTTGTGTTGTGGGGAGGGACGGGGTTTGTTTACATCATCAGCTGTTTTGTCTGGGGATGTTGATTTTACCACTGAAAAGGATTTTGTTTATGTTATAAGTTGTTGTTAAAACGGTTGTGATTGCTGTTTCTTCTGTTAACTTGTTAATGTTATTTGTGAAGTTATCTTAAGAAGTTATACGAGGAACTGTAATTTATTCTTGTGTAATTAGTCATGCCTGTTAAATTGTCTTATGAAGTCACTCTTTGCTGTGAATGTTTAGATACAGTTACCCTTGATATTAAATTGGCTGTTAAATTGTCTTGAGTAGTTATCATTAGATGTTAAGTAGCTTTAAGCAGGTGAAAAGTTACCCCCCTGTATTGGCTAATAAGTTGTCGCAAACTTTGCTATTGGTTAGTAAGATGTCTCAAACATTGCTATTGGCTAGTAAGTTGTCTCAAACGTTGCTATTGGCTAGTAAGTTGTCTCAAACGTTGCTATTGGCTAGTAAGTTGTCTCAAACGTTGCTATTGGCTAGTAAGTTGTCTCAAACGTTGCTATTGGCTAGTAAGTTGTCTCAAACGTTGCTATTGGCTAGTAAGTTGTCTCAAACGTTGCTATTGGCTAGTAAGTTGTCTCAAACATTGCTATTGGCTAGTAAGTTGCCTCAAACGTTGCTATTGGCTAGTAAGTTGTCTCAAACGTTGCTATTTGCTGATAATTAAGTTGTCACAAACGTCATTAATATCACTTATAGTTAGCAGCTATAGAAGTGTCAGAACTGTCAACTGTCAGTCTTAAGCAATAGCACGTCTTACTTGTCAGTTGTTTGCGCTGTCAGCTCCACTTGCCAGCGCTTGTTTGCTCCCCGTCAAGTTGTCAGATTCCCTCCTGGTCATTTTCAGTCCTGAGTGTCAAAGCCGTCAAGCTGTCTGTGTTATGTTTGTCCGTCAGCTGTTATGGTTGTTGTTTTTATGTTCTGATTGTCAAGCTGTCAATATTATGCCTTGTCATACACTGCCAAACTGTCAACATTATGTACTTTCTCTCTCTAACAAACCGTCAGCATTATACCATATCTTGTTTTGTCAAGCTTTCAGTATTACCCTTGATTTATGCGGTCAAGCTGTCAGTATACCGTCTGCATTACCCTGCTAAGCTGTCAGTGCTACGCTTGGTATATGGTGTTAGATTGTCAGTTGATTATTATGCTCGTCACGATTAAGCTTGATAATGTTGTCAGGTTTATCAATATTTTACTTGATTATTCGGTAAATTTATCTACAATGCTTGTTATATGTTGTCAAGTGGTTGGCATTAAGCTTTGTCTTATGATGTCAAGGTGTCAGTATGAAGCTTTGTCTTATGATGTCAAGTTGCCAGTATTAAGCTTTGTCATGTGCTGTCAAGTTGTCAGTATTTAGCTTTGTATTATGCTGTCAATTTGTCAGTATTAAGCTTGGGTTGTGTTGTCAAGTTGTCAGTATTAAGCTTTGACATATGCTGTCAAAATATCAGTAATGAGCTTTGTCATATGCTGCCAAATTGTCAGTATCAAGCTTTGTCATATGCTGTCAAGTTTCCAATATTAAGCTTTGTCATATGTCAAGTTGTCAGTATTAAGCTTTGTCATATGTCAAGTTGTCAGTATTAAGCTTTGTCACATGCTGTCAAGTTGTCAGTATTAAGCTCTGTCATGTGCTGTCAAGTTGTCAGTATCAAGCTTTGTCAAATGCTGTCAAGTTGTCAATATTAAGCTTTGTCATGTGCTGTCAAGTTGTCAGTATCAAGCTTTGTCAAATGCTGTCAAGTTGTCAATATTAAGCTTTGTCATGTGCTGTCAAGTTGTCAGTATCAAGCTTTGTCATATGCTGTCAAGTTGTCAGTATTAAGCCTTGTCACATGCTGTCAAGTTGTCAGTATTAAGCTCTGTCACATGCTGTCAAGTTGTCAATATTAAGCTCTGTCAAATGCTGTCAAGTTGTCAATATTAAGCTTTGTCACATGCTGTCAAGTTGTCAACATCAAGCTTTGTCACATGCTGTCAAGTTGTCAGTATCAATCTTTGTCATATGCTGTCAAGTTGTCAATATTAAGCTTTGTCACATGCTGTCAAATTAATTGTCAGTATTAAGCTTTGTCACATGCTGTCAAGTTGTCAATATTAAGCTTTGTCACATGCTGTCAAGTTGTCAATATTAAGCTTTGTCAAATGCTGTCAAGTTGTCAATATTAAGCTTTGTCATGTGCTGTCAAGTTGTCAGTATCAAGCTTTGTCATATGCTGTCAAGTTGTCAATATTAAGCTTTGTCACATGCTGCCAAATTGTCAGTATTAAGCTTTGTCACATGCTGTCAAGTTGTCAATATTAAGCTTTGTCACATGCTGTCAAGTTGTCAATATCAAGCTTTGTCACATGCTGTCAAGTTGCCAGTATTAAGCTTTGTCACATGCTGTCAAGTTGTCAATAGCTTTGTCAAGCTTTGTCACATGCTGTCAATATTAAGCTTTGTCACATGCTGTCAAATTGTCAGTATTAAGCTTGTCACATGCTGTCAAGTTGTCAATATTAAGCTTGGTCATATGCTGTCAAGTTGTCAATATTAAGCTTTGTCATATGCTGTCAAGTTGCCAGTATCAAGCTTGGGTTGTGTTGTTAAACTGTCATTTTTCTCCTCCTGCCTTGTCAAGTTGTCTTAGTTTATTATTCTGTCAATCTCTGTCAAGTTGTCAATAAAGTGATCTGTCATATTTTGTCAAGTTGTCTAGAGTGTTTACTTTCATCTCCTGTCATATTCTGTTAAGTTGTCGCCGCTATTGTGGTGTTATGTTCTGTCAATTTGCCAGTTATGATCTCTGTCATCTACTGTCATAATATCAGTATTGTGTATATTATATTATACTAAGCTTTTATTGTTATAGTCTTGAGCTGTTGCTATTAGTATTAAGCTTCGTCTTGTGTCAGTAATTATTCTTGTCTTGTATTCGCCGTCATTTGTGTTCTCTCTCCTGCTTGGTCTTCTTATCACTATTATACTAAATTAAGCTTTCACTATTATGCTGGGATCTCAAGCCGTCTGTGCTCTACTTTGTCTCTCAAGCTGTCAGCGCTCTACTTTGTCTCTCAGCTGATATTAAAAAGCAAAAAGCAGGATCTCTCAAAGCTTCACCCTCAACCTTAGAATATTTCGTCAAATGTCTCTTCTAAACGTCAAAAGTATCTCAACAAAAGTCACAAACAACAAAAATTGGTTTAGGAAAATATAATTAGTTAGTTATAATAATGTATACAATATAGTATTATTATTTGGTGTAAAGCCATGTTGTTGTATATATATATTTATAATAACTACAAACACTTTTAGATGTCAACAAGCTTTTTGAACTGTTGTTAATAATGTATATATGTGTACAATTATCCCCCCAAAAAATATCTTGGTTAACATTTGTGCCAAGTATTCGTCAAAATTTAATTGTTAAAAGGAATTCTCATTTTATGTTAATCACGATGTTTTCATTAACAGTAAAAGTCATCAAATATATTATCAGAGTTTGATATCAAGATTAGTCTTATATGAGTCTTTTAGATACGTATGTCACCTCTGTTTTTTTTTTTTAATGTTTCATTGTCAAAAATCGTCTAAGCTTTATTCTGGCTGTATTCAATTGTTCTAATCATCGTGTGAGTTAAGGACAATAAATGAAAACCGTACGACTCTCAACAATAATAACAACAATATGAGTTGCCATGCGCACAATTTAAGTGAGATGCTGTGAATGAATAAATAAATGAATGAATAAATGAATATATACGTAGATAAATAAATTGGTTTTTTTGTTTTGTTTTGGGGTTTTGCTTAAAAACAATGGTAGAGCATTAGAAAATACAGCCGGTAAAACGCTCAGGGGTGACGTACGTGAAATGTTTTGTCCTGGAGGCATCGTACATTCAATTTAATAGTTGTTGTATTGTAGTCCTCCCCGAAGATTGTCGTACACCAGTCTCAGTCTTGTTGTATACAGTTGTCTAAAGGTTATCGTAAATTTGTAGCATACATTTGTCTTAGTGATGTCATACAGTATCTCGTAGTCTAGTCAAACACAGTTGTCTCACAGCATTAATATATATTTGTCTCGGTGATGTCATACAGTATCTCATAGCCAGATACAACTGTGTCATAGCAGTCTCTTGGTCGTCTCACTATTATCATATCCCATAATTATCATACAGTTGTCTTATGTTATATAAGTGTCTCGGCGGCTTCGTTGGTTGTCGTTTAGTCAAAATACAGTTATGTCGTAGTAGTTGTTCGACTGTATGATAATTCCCTTACACTAATCCTATATATCTCCCAGTGGGGCACCGTTGCTATCTCTCTCAGGAATGATTTTGTGATTCTTCGGCATTTGAAACGGCTTGATGTTTGATGATTTTAGACAAACAATTGTTAAAAAAATGGATTAGTTTGTGTTGTAATGATGTGATTTGCTTCTGGTATTTAGATTATTTTTGGACTTTGAGGAATTAAGACTCGGGTCGAGTATGAGTGTTTTATTTGGTTAGAAAAATGATCAAAATCGACTGGGGTGAAGATGCGGCGTTGCCTCACTGAGTGGCGAGTCAGAGCTTACTGCTGGCTCGCCCTCCTGAGCTCAGTTTAGACTGGTTTTCTGTCACACACGCGGGCTGAAGTGTCATCTGGACTTGTTGCCTGGAAAACTTGCCATTAAGATCAGTCACCAGGAGGAATTACTATTAAGGTCTCTTGAGAGCGACTTATGACAAGAAGGACCAACAAGTATGACCTCTCAGCCGGAGAACCTGTCTCCTGGAGGAGTTCCTTCTAGGTCGTGTGGATCTTTGTATAAGTTCTGTCACAACTAAAATCTTGGAACAATATTTGTAATGAATGTTTTGAGCAAGGCAGAAGTGTGGCCCAGTGATGTGGTCACCTCAGGCCACATGTGTGAGAGAGAACAGTCAAGAAAAACTAGTGGGACAGTTTACTCCCAACACTCGGTAGCATGATGGTAAGATACCACGTCAACAAACTTTCTAAACTTTTTTTTATTATTTTTATATTCCTGTTATGGCCCGCCAGCGGGAACAAATATAAAGTATTTAAACTTAAAATAACAAATAAATAAATAAGAAATAGTACAGACAGGGGCGGAGGGGGTGACGCGGGTCTTGGGGACCACCTCGTGTATAGATGTTACTCCCTCCCGAGGGTCGTGAGTCAGGTACTGAGGTCAGCCACCCTTCCTGGTCACACCTGGGGGCGTGGTGAGGGTGGGATGTGGGCGGAGAATGGAACACCTCCACCTGTCTCCAGCATCGCTACTGACAGGATGACTTTTATCAGTGATCGGGAGGTCACTCATCACCCTGTATCAAGGCCCGCACGGTGTACAGGGACACTTGTACTGTACATTAGCACCGACAACACCAAAGTAAATGTGGCGGTGAAGTGAACTGCCTGACCTATTTCTCGTCCACCCGCCTCCAGCCCTCTACAGCGTCTCCGTCAGGTAGAGCGTCTGTGTGTGTGTGTGTAACAGTTAACTAACGTGAAGTGTCTGAAAAATTCTGAAGACGTTAAAGATGACATTTTTCCGTATGACGTCTGTGTTGAGGCGTGTCTGTGTCGTGTAGTGATAGAGTAAACTGGCAGATCAGCTCAGAGACCCCGCTGAACCTTGACTCACTCAACCGTTCACTGCCTTCTTCAGATTTATTCAGAATGTCAGAATTAAAAAGATAAACGCTTCACTAAGTCTATCCGTAAGATTATTCTGGTATGTTCAGTACGCCCGAGTGATTCCCTTGCAAGATTCAGCGGATTCACTTTAAAATTCTCAATAGTAAAGTGCGTATTGAACGGTGAGAAGTGACGACCATCACATGGCTCAGAGTTTTCGTCAGGTGTCATTTAACCGTCGTCTCGCAGCACAGGTGTCGTCCATCACAGTGTCTGCTTAACTACCGTAACATTTAACTAAGTTGGTGTCAAGAACTCGTGTCAAATGTCGAGTTGGTGTCAGCCGTGAGTTGTGTCGGAGGCTCGTGTCAAGTGTCTGGGATGGATGATGTCAACAAACATACGGTTCTTGAGGGGCGACGCACACGAGTACAGTCTGTCGGTCCCTACAATATTTCAGCAATAAATAATCTAAACTAACTTGATAATACGCCTATATCTATCAGACTAAGCCAAAAAAATAAGGTTTCTGGTTTAAATAAAACTAAAATAAATAATGATGACATAGGCATACCAGTCAAGGGAAACAGAGAAATTCACCAGCTAATCATTGGGTCTGCCAGTGTCTTGTCGTCAACACAGTCCAAGGCAAAGTGTTCGCGTCGGAGTCTCCTGTACCTGGACGCTACGTGAACCTCGCTAGCAATAGTCAATGCCTCTTGTCACGTGGAGCTTCAGACTCCATATGGAAAAAAAATAATACTGCAGTCTAACAGTAACTGCCGTAAACAACTACTATTTCTAGCGTCGGTCAGTCGGATATGAAGCCAAACACTAAACTAAGAGACTGTGGCGACAGTTACTGTTGTTGGGTGTCGCAGGACGAATTCTGGGAGCCACAGTCATCTTGGAGGACGGGAAGGTAGACGCCTTTAGACATCGTTACATTCGTTGTAAATCTCTTGGCAGCTCTCGCCGACGCGTCCCCTCCTGCCAGCGTCATTGTAGATTTCGAAGGGGGTGTAGGTGGAGCGCTCCAGGATGAAGCTCATACCGTACCTGCGGAACGACCCAGCGAGTTAAACAGGTGGCAGAGAGAGAGAGAGAGAGAGAGAGAGAGAGTGAAGCAAATAAAAAAATCAGGCAGTAATAAATCCAGGCAGATGGAAGCTACAAGTAACGTAACAAAATGAACAAACTGTATATCCACAAGTCCCCAGTCGTTCACACTACACGATTCCTGCACAGCCATAACAAGAGAAAATCGCTTACGTTCCCATCTGGCAGAAGAGGTAGCCAGTGTCACCAGTGCCATACACACAGTCGGAGTTGGCCTCGCACAGGTACTTCTGCATGCAGATGTCGTCCTCGGTCTCGTAGGTCTTAATGTAGCTCTATTGGTGAAGGAGGAGGAGGAGGTGATTGGTCAGTACAGGAATAGGAGAAAGTGTACAAGGATTACGATCTGAAAATTGATATCTTTCGTTTGTGATGGGGGGGGGGGAGGTGACACAGAGCAACTCTAACTGAACTGGAAGGTACTAGATGACTTGAATAACTGGCATGGGACTGTGCGACCTAAGAGGAGGGAACTGTTTGCCAAAGCTACGTCACCTTGAGCATGGTGGTGGCGGCGACGGCGGCATCAGCGAGGGAGTCGGTGGTGCCCAAACTGCGAGCCTCAAAGGACCTCTGGGAGAAGCTGGTGCGGAGAGCGTCGAGGAGGGTCACCACCAGACCGAACAGCTGCAACACAAGAGTAAACAATCAAGTGACGTCATGGGCCAAGGTTATCAATCATTTGAAGTCATTCGTAAACAAAAAAATTCTTGTCACATCACAGAAAAGATCGTAGTGAGTAGTTAAATTGTCATACTAATTAATTAAGTGTACAGGCTAATGGGATTAAGCTTACAGGCAGGTGGAATTTAAGTTATGTCGAAGAAGCTTAAAACATGATCAAGTTGAAAGTTATCCTGGTGACAGAGAACTGATTGTAAGCATGAACATCTTGATAACTCACCTCAGAAGCTTGTTTAGCCATCACGCCAACCTCATCAGGATTGTTGGAGCCGGTCAGGTAGGAGATGACGGCAGTTAGGATACCCTGTGGTGATATTAGAACGTTAATTGGTTGCATTTTTTTTACACTAATAAGAGGAAAAAGAAAACTATTATTGGTTTGGTTAAGGGTAGTGGTGGTTGTGGTGAGGTCGTGTTCATGATTGTGGTAGTAGTAGTGGTGGTTGTGGTGAGGTCGTGTTCATGATTGTGGTAGTAGTAGTGGTGGTTGTGGTGAGGTCGTGTTCATGATTGTGGTAGTAGTAGTGGTGGTTGTGGTGAGGTCGTGCTCATGATTGTGGTAGTAGTAGTGGTGGTTGTGGTAAGTTCGTGATTGCGGTGGTGGTCGTGACTGTGGTTGGTACTAGTGGTGGTCGTAACTGTGATAAAGTAACAATGTGTGACGGCGGTATGTTATTGAATGCCGTAAAGGACCCGAGCCTGTGTGGGTTTATGACGGTGAGAATGTCGTACACCCGGGGTTGGGGGGAGGGGGGTGGGGTTAACCTATAACTCACTGAGAACCCGGATAATGAACCTCCTTCCAACCCCTCCCCCCTCAATACCCTCCACCGTCGATGTTAATAGAATTCCCACCTATTGGTTTAAGAGTAACTGTTATGTGACTGTTATGTGACTGTTGACTGAGAAAGGTGTTCGATAAGGCGTGTGTGAAGGTTACAATACACAGTGAGTGTTATATTACCTCAACGGGAGAGCCTCCGTCCATCTTATCTATGGCAGCATTGTCCCCACCTCCCAGTACACTGAGGACCATCTGGAGACCCAAGGAGAACATCTTGGACCAGGAGAAGTCGCCACTCTGAAGAGATAATGTTAAGTTAGTATCTGGACTGATCACTGCGACTCCTGTTCTCTTGGTAGGATTGTCAAAATCCTTCTTCAGTTGTCATATTTTCTCCAAATCGTATAAAGTTAGTTTTTGGAGAGTGTTTACATGTCGAATTGACTTCTTAACACCTGAAGCTTTGAAATATAAGGTAACTATTTAGTTTCTTTAGCATATGTTAACACCGAGACTGATAAAGGTCAAGTGGCTATACAGTATTCGTGTGGGTCCCTCCTTACCGTAAGCTGGGTGATGTAATCCATCTTGTCTGAGGCGCCGTTGGGTCCGTGTGTGGGTCCTCCTATGAAGAGCTGCATCGCCAGACCCAGCAGATTACCCCATTGGAACCCTCCGTCAGTAGGTTGTTCCTGTAACACACAAACAAATATAATAGGGGCTTCATCGTCTGATCTTTTTCTTTTTTTACGTGAATAAACTCTCTTCCATTTTGTGTCGATCACTACATCATAACCCTGAACTTAATATACCTGTTTCACGTCGGGTTGTTGTTGGAGTTGTTGTTTCTTGATGTCGTTGGGTTTGGAGACGAACTTACGTGCCTCTTGTGCCACCTGAGCGTCCATAGTGGCGGCGATGGTGGAGGTGACGAGGGAGGTAGCCAGGAGTACCACCAGGCCCCAGCTCATAATCTGGCGAGTCGTCATCTACAGGAGGAGAAAGATGGTTGGGTTGAGTCGGGTGAGTTGAAGGCTATGGTGGTGAGGGGTAAGGTGAGGAGAGTGTGATGATAGAGGAAGGTAGAATTTGAGGTGAGAGAAGGAGGTGAAGACAAACCAAAACAAGAGAGCGACACAGGTAGATCACAGGAGTAAAAGATCTACCGCAGATTATTTCTATTCGACTTCCATTCATCCACATCATTAATAATCAACACTGTTTATGTCCTCACGCCCCAAGGACCACATTACGCCATATATCAAGTTGCTTTCTCTGTTGTCCAAATTAATGAAAAATACTGACGTCATTCATTCACTTTCTGTTATCGCCTGTTCATATACACGTCATCCGCTGTCAACATCCACTTTCTACCATTTATTATCTCCTTTTCATGAGCTCATCCGCACCACTTCACCCATTCCTCCCTCACCCCCTCCCGTTACCTCATCACCACGATACAATAACGATGCATTAGTCGGTTCACGCACGACAGCTTACCGTTGTTATTTCCACACACACACGCGAGAATTATCAAGGGTGGTGGCTGTGTGGTAAGCAGTGGTAGGGGTTTAGTGTCAAGCGTGTCATGTACCCAGGAGCGTGACGATGTTGACTCCTCCGCCCACCACGCCTCTCACTTTCACCATCATTTCATTTGGTGATATAGTGTTGAACCAGGAGAGTGGTGAGGGAGGGGGTGTGGTGAGGGAGAGGGCGTGTAGTACCAGAATCCTGGGGGATAGCGAATGTAATACTGATTTTCAAGAAGGGAGGTAGATCACTATCCTCTAACTACCGTCCAATCAGCTTAACATCAATTGCAGGCAAATTACTGGAAACAATAATTTTAAACTATATTCGAAATCACCTGGAGAAGCACAAGTTGATCAATGATTCTCAACATGGCTACACAAGCGGGAGTTCATGTTTAACTAATCTATTAACATTCTTTTCAGCTGTTTTCGAATCAGTGAACGAAGGGCACGACTATGATGTGGTATATCTCGACTTGGCAAAGCCTTCGACAGAGTTCCCCACGAAAGACTAATAAGAAAAGTAGAGGCTCATGGCATTAAAGGAGATACTCTAAAATGGATTAGTGCGTGGTTACAGGACAGAAAACAGCGAGTGAGCATTAACGGCACTAAATCCGATTGGAGTAACGTCACAACTGGAGTTCCCCAAGGCTCAGTACTTGGACCGTTATTATTTACTATATACATAAACGACATGGATATCGGCGTAGACAGCAACATAAGTAAATTTCCTGATGACACTAAAATAGGGCGTGTAATTAAATCTGACGAGGACTCCACAAAACTACAGGAAGATCTAAACAAATTTTTCGAATGGTCTGAAAAATGGCAGATGAAATTCAATGTGGACAAATGTAAAGTACTTAGTCGAGGAGATGTAAACAGGGAAACCAGATATCAGATGAATAGCGATGTTATAGAAATAAATCCGAATTTGAGAAAGATTTAGGAGTAATGATAAGTAGGAATCTTAAGCCAAGTAAACAATGTGTATTTGCTCGAAACAAGGTTAATAAAGAACTTGGGTTTATACAAAGGAGTGTTAGTTACAAGACTAGCGAAGTCATCCTGAAACTATATCTTGCGCTTGTGAGCCCTCACTTGGATTACGCAGTTCAATTCTGGTCACCGTATTACAGAATGGATATAGAATCCTTGGAAAGAATTCAGAGGAGAATGACAAGACTAATCCCGGGCATTAGGAACCTTGAGTACAGAGACAGGTTAAAGCATCTTAGTTGCACTCCCTCGAGAGACGTAGAGTGAGGGGCGATGATTATGATCGAGGTGTATAAATGGAAGTCAGGGCTAAACAAAGGGGACCTTACAAAGGTACTCAAATTATCCAACCAGGAGCGAACTCGTAACGATGGTTTTAAATTAGACAAATTTAAGTTTAGGCGCGAAATAGGTAAACATTGGTTTGGAAATAGAGTAGTGGATGAGTGGAACAAATTACCAAACATCATTATTGACTCAAATACGATGGATAGCTTCAAAATGGGACTGTCCAATAGGCCCGTTGCAGTTTCCTCCATTCTTATGTTCTTATGGTGAGGGAGGGGGTGTGATGAGGGAGGAAAGGGGGGGGGGGAGGAGGTGTGAGATGAAGGGCAAAGAGAAATGATGATGATGATGTCACCAATACATCATAGGCAGAATACAGTAGTTATGTAATAGTTATGTAACACCAATATGTTAATAGTGATGTGCTGCTACTAATGCAATATAGGAGTCATATAGTAGTTATATAATAGTTATGTAACCCTAATATACTGTACTAACACGGTGTTACGTACAGGTGGCCATTAACTCTTTATAACACACTGTAATATCATTGGTGGAATATTAAGTAGTATGTTCTATGATTGGTGGAAAACCTATCATCATCATCTGTGATTGGTGGAGTATATACAGTTATTCTCTATTGGGATTGGTAGAAATTTTAATAGTGAAAACATTGTTCGTGTCCTTTGTCGTGATTAGTGGAACTTTAGTATCTTCTCCAGTGATTGGTGGAAATGATAACTGCGTCCCCTCTGTGATTGGTGGAATATGTATAGCAACTCTTCTCGTGATTGGTGGAAAGCTTAGTATCGTATTCCTCAGTAATTGGTGGAAAATATAGACCGGCTAATCGAACCGTTGTGATTGGTGGAACATTTAATGGCATCTTTTACGATTGGTGGAATTATTAAATCAAGTGGAATTCTTTATTGTGATTGGTGTGAAGTTTCTGATAAGATTTAGTTTGGGTTCTTTATTATGATTGGTTGAAATCTGTAGCAACTTTCTCTCTCTTCTGTGATTGGTGGACGATGATAATGTAGTATCTGACTCACGTTATTGCTGGTCAACACAGGCCTCATCTATATGTCCATCTCCTCACCCTCTACCACGCCCCCTCAACTAAGCCCCTTCCCCACCAGCCCCTTCCCTCTTCCTCCTCCTCACCCTTCCTCCCCACCTTCCTCCCACCCCTCCTCCCACCCTCCTCCCACCCCTCCTCACCCCTCCTCCCACCCTACCTCCCACCTAACATTGCCTACCTGCCGTTTACACAACAACAGCGGCTAGTTTTCTCCACGTCAAGGACACTTCGCTATACTTTCACAAAGGAGGGAGTGTATGGGAGGAGGAGGTAGTTGGAGGAAGGGGGGAAGGAGTGAGGTGTGGGGAAGGGGGACGGAAGGAGGGTGAGAGTGTATGGGGGAAGGGGGACGGAGGAGTGAGGTGTATGGGGAAGGGGGACGGGGGGGGAGGAGGTGAGGGGTGTATGGGGGAAGGGGGACGGAGGGGGTGGGGGTGATGGGGGAGGGGGGGACGGAGGGGAGGAGGGGAGGGGTGAGGGGTGTATGGGGAAGGGGGGACGGAGGGGAGGGAGGGAGGGGGGGGAGGGGACGGGGGAGGGGGAAGGGGAGGGAGTGAGGGTGGTGTGGGGGGGACGGGGGGGAGGGAGGGTGTATGGGGGAGGTGGGACGGGGGGGGGGGGAAGGAGGGAGGGAGGAGTGTGTGGGGGAAGGGGACGGAGGGAGGGGGGAGGGGTATGGGGGAGGGGAGGGGAGGGAGAGGGGGAGGCGAGAGGGAGGAGAAAGAGGGGGGGGAGGGAGGGGAAGGAAGGAGTGGGAGGAGGAAAGGAGTGGGGGGAGGAGGGAAGGAGGGAGGAGGGAGGAAGGAGTGGGGAGGGAGGGAAGGAGAGGAAAAAGAGGGGAAGGAGGAGGAAAGGATGGAGGGAGGAAGGGTGGGGGGAGGGAGGGAAGGAGTGGGGAGGGAGGGAAGAGTGGGGAGCCGTCTTGGTCCACCTTCTTCCTCTTCTCTCGTTGTTTACTATCCCTCTTTCCACCCTTTCCAGTCCTAAGTAATAGTCCCCAGTCTTAGTAATAGTCCAGTCTTAGTAATAGTCCCCAGTCTTAGTATAGTCCCCAGTCTTAGTAATAGTCCCCAGTCTTAGTAATAGTCCAGTCTCAGTAATAGTCCCCAGTCTTAGTAATAGTCCCCAGTCTTAGTAATAGTCCCCAGTCTTAGTAATAGTCCCGTCTTAGTAATAGTCCCCAGTCTTAGTAATAGTCCCCAGTCTTAGTAATAGTCCCCAGTCTTAGTAATAGTCCCAGTCTTAGTAATAGTCCCCAGTCTTAGTAATAGTCCCCAGTCTTAGTAATAGTCTGATCTTAGTAATAGTCCCAGTCTTAGTAATAGTCCCCAGTCTTAGTAATAGTCCCCAGTCTTAGTAATAGTCCCCAGTCTTAGTAATAGTCCCCAGTCTTAATAATAGTCCCCAGGCATAGTAATAGTCCCAGGCATAGTAATTGTCCCCAGTCTTAGTAATAGTCCCCAGTCTTAGCAATAGTCCCCAGTCCTACCGAGCCCCCAACTAAGATTAACCTTATCTAATCACTATTTAAATTGGGGTCTCTAGTCTTAACAGGGATCTCAGTTCGACCTGACTCACACTACTAACCACGCCACCCCACCCCACGACACTATACTAACCACGTCACCCCACCCCACGACACTATACTAACCACGTCACCCCATCTTTCCCCCAACACTACTAACCACTCCACCCCGACACTATACTAACCACTCCACCCTGACACCATACTAACCACGCCACCACCTTCCCTCCACACTACTAACCACGCCACCACCTTCCCCCCACACTACTAACCACGCCACCTGCCTCCCAAACAAGCTTTTCATCTCAGTCACCCGGATATCAACTTTCTCCAGGGCGTCCCATGCTGAGTCAGAGAGGCCTGAGGAGTGGCGGTCACTCTCCCGGGAACTGCTGTCTCAAGGTGGCGGGGAGACACAGGGTTCACCTTTGTTTATGTAGGAGACCTAGAGCGTACCTTTGTGTATAGGAGACAGGACGTATTTCGTGTACACAGGAGACACGGGCAGGACATTATCGCTACATACAGGAGCTAACAGGGAGGAAAGATCTAGGG